AAAAAAAAAAATAGGAAGAGGAAAGAGAAGATGGAATGGCCATCCTGCCACTATTTCTAAGGGGCTAAATTCAGCCCATCAATTTTCAGTGATCACACAACATTCTGGCATAGCCTTTACCCAACCTCGCCATTACTCCCCTTCATTCCCACTCTCACTTTTGCCCTTCTCCCAGTTTTCCTTCACTGTGACAGCTAGGGGATGTGGACAAAAGAAAGAAATATAGCTAGTGATGTTCTGAACACAGAGGACAGATTCAAATAAGCCTTAATTGTCTTCATCTCACCACTTCAAGCAATACCCACAAAACTGTCATGTTATCAGGAAAAAGATTTCCCAAATTATTTTCCAACAAAAAGTGATACAACTCATAAAGTCTAGTTGTTAATAGTAGCTCCAAGAAACACAGCACATTCTCTCACACCTCAGAAGTTCAGGATGTTCTACACTGTCCTAGCAGAAACCTCTCAGTTTCTTGGGAACCAAAATCAAAAGATCTAGAAACTCTGGAACCTGTACTCCTACCAAGCAGCAACCAGCTACAGCCAAGGAGCAGCTGCCCCTTTAATTAGGACACGTTTTCTAGTTTGCTAAAATCATCACTGCTCACCTTTTCTCCCCTAAACAGATGCGAAGTGTGACTTGCCACTGTGTCTGAGCTACTTTCGTACTCGAAACTTGCAGCCCAACATCTAGGGCTGGACATTAGGGGATTCAAATGGTCATTTGGGAGATCCATAAAAAAATTAAAATGCAGAAGATGAGCCAAAGGAAAAGAGTAAAATTAAGTCTATAGAAGAGTCTCAATGCTTGCCTAATTAGATTAAATCAGGATTAAAATACAGGGAGCACAAGATTAGAATCTAATTTGGAACCAACCATCTTATCATTTGAGGATGAAGAAGAGAATGAGGTGGATTGACATCCTGCCACTATTTCTACAAGGTTGACCTAAAAAGTAATTCCTATGTTAACCCAGTTCCTTCCTACAGTGAAGCAAGCTACTTAACTTCTCTATGCTCAATATTCTTACCGATAAAATGGGAGTAATAATATTGCTCCCACACACAGAGGTTTGTTAAAATGATGAAATTATTTTTTTTAATTTTTTTAGAGATAAGAGTCTGGGTGTGTCACCCAGGCTTTACAGTGAAACCATTATAGCTCATAGCAACTTCAAATTCCTGGGCTCCAGTGATCCTCCTACCTCAGTCTCCTGAGTAGGTGGGAGTACAGGCACATGTCATGATGCCCAGCTATTTTTTTTATTTTATGTAGAGATAGGGTCTCACTATGTTGCTATGTAGGCTGGTGTTCAACTCCTGACCTCAAGTCATCTTCCTGCTTGAGGAAGATGGAATGCTTTCCAACATGCTGGGATTATAGGTAAGAGCCACCATGCCCAGCTATATGAACTAATTTAATAAGCCAAAAGCATGTAGAACAGTTCCTGGTACATGGAACTTCATTACTATATAATGACTTCATTAGTATACAATGTATTACATGCTCTAAACATGGTTTGTCTTATCTCCCTCAATTGAGGAGTAAGTTTCCTTTTCATTTCTTCTGTGTCAGAGCAGAGCTGGGCCCTTTCTGTGTTCCCTCAGTACTCACTAACATGTCCCCTTGTCATTGTATGGTAGAGGATCAGGTCATTTTTAGGAAGGTCACAAACAAGCGAACAGTTAGACCATCTTCCAGAATAGAGGATAACTGGAAAACTATGGTGCTGGTTGGGCCTGAACACCCTTAATATCTGCTGCTTCCACTTCAGGTTCTTGAACAAACAGCTTTAGAAAAGAACCCCCACCCCAGCCCAGCCCAGCCCCGCCTCTTACTGTGTCCCATTTTGCTCTGGCTCGTTCTTCCTCAAATTTAGCAAACTCTTTTCGGTCATGGATGGTGATGAGGAGCTTCCAGATGAGCAGAGTGGCAAGGCCGATGAGCAGAATAGCCCCCATCACTGAAAGCAGGACCACCAGGATGTCAGGGCCCTTGGGACACTCTGTCAGGAAGAAGCACAGAGCAGGTAGTAGTGAATGAGAAGAAATCCCTGGAACTGGCTATGAATAAGGTGTTCTTACAAAGTAATAAAGGTCTCTGAAGGAGATGCAATAATTTTTTAATTAACTAAATATTTTCTTAAAAAGGGTACAATCTTTAGGACAACAATAATCTGCCTTGGATGTTTAAATCAGAGGCCTTAAACTGGTCACCCTGGGCAGAATCCAGCCACACCTTGGGTGAGGGTTCACTCATGTATTTATTTTTAAAAATTGGTTTTTAAAAATAGCCAGGCAGGTAGCATATGCCTGCAGTCCCAGCTACTGGGGAGGCTGAGGCAGGAGGATCACCTGAGCCCAGGAGTTCAAGGCTGCAGTGAACTATGGTTGTGCCTATGAATAGCCATGGCACTCCACCCTGGACAACACAGTAAGACCCCATATCTAAAAATAATAATAATAAGATTGCTTTTGTTGACAACATTGAAGCAAGAGATTATCCCCACAAAATTTCAGATTATTCTTCTCTTTAAAAAAAATTAAAAGACTCAGCACCCATAGCTCAGCAATTAGGGCACCAACCACATACACCAAGGCAGGCGGGTTCAAAACTGGCCCCAGCCTGCTAAACAACAATGACAGCTGCAACCAAAAAATAGCCAGGCATTGTGGTGGGCACCCATACTCCCAGCTACTTGGGAGGCTGAGTTAAGAGAATCACTGAAGCCCAAGAGTTAGAAGTTGCTGTGAGCTGTGACGCCACAGCACTCTACCAAGTGTAATATAGTGAGACTCTGTTTCAAAAAAAAAAATCAATAATCCTTATATTTAGTGGCTTAAATGAAGGCTGAGGAAAATGTCCCAAAGTTGCTAATAAAGAAATATACACCATTAAAAAAAAAATCAAAAGATCTAGAAACACTGAAACCTATATTCCTACAGTACAGCAACTGGCTATAGCCAAGGAGCAGCTGCCCTTTTAGTGGGGACACATGTTTTCTAGTTTGTGGAATCCACACCACTCACCCTTCTCTCCCCTAAATGGAGGCAAAGTTCTGCCACTGTGTTTGTGTTACTGTGGACTTCAGAGCCAGACTGCTAGGCTTGAATCCTGGCTTACAACTTAACTTTGCTATGTGACCTTGACCTTTAGCAAATTACTTAACCTTTCTGGTGTCTGTTTCCTGCTTCTCCATGTTTAAAATGGAGAAAGTGACAGCACTGACATTAACAAGTTGTTATGAGGAATAATTCAATTAAATAGATCTTAAAATTTTAAAAAGTGCCTCACATGGGCACTTAAAACTTAAAACAGTGCCTCACACGAATTAAGTGCTGAACAGATATCAGCTATCATTGTGACTGATGTTTTCTTATACTCAGCTGTTTTCACTAATTTATTTGGCTACTTAGACCCTATACACATTTGTGTCTGTTACCCTGGTTCAGATATTTACATTCCTGGAGGCTGTGCACCTAATGCCCTTTTTAGAATCCTTAGAGACTAGGAGGCCTGCCAGCCAAGACAATATTTTGGGTTCTTTCCCAAAATATTTAGTCATCTAAAATCATAACCCTATTGAGAGCTGACTTCCTGTTCAACCCAGTCAACAACCAACACAAACAGAGGGAGGCATGGCACCCCTCTGAGGGTCAAGTTTAGTAGAGCTCTGCTTCCCATAAACATCAGGTGTCTGAGAGGTGACCTCACTCCAGTAACATCAAGTGTTATGAAACCAGGTGTTTGTATATGTTGGTACTGGTGAGTCCGGAGAGGAAGTCATATCCATTTTCCACACTGTCTCCCACCTTCTTCTCTAAACACACACCCTCTGTTCACCACACACTACACAAAAACAACCACCACCACAAACCCAAGCTGGCTATCTCCCAACCCACCAAATTACAACCTGTCTATAATTAAAGGAATGTCTGGAGAGAGGCTGTGAGGGTCCAGTGTCCAAGTTCCCAGGAGTGAAGGACCCCAGTTCTTCTGGGAAAAGCAATTATGAATTCTCTAGAAGATTGGGGTAAAGCTGACCCTCAAACCTCAAAGTGAAATCTCTTCAATACTGTATAGTAGTATGGGCAAGACAGGTAGGTAGGGTGCCAAGAGGTCTTCAGGGGAAAACCATGCGTGGGTGGGAGACTTCCTGGAAGCAGATGACAAGATCAGGTGGTCTCTGGAGGACCCTCTCAGCCACAGCAGTACATCCATGGTGAGTGACTCTATGTCAGAGAAGTCTGGGTAACATGGCAGACTTAGCAAACAAAACTACAGGAAGCCAAGACAAGTCTGAATTTCAGATAAACAATGAATTCCTTTTTCTTATAAGTACCAAACATCACATGGGACATACTGTATTTTATCTGGCAACCCTATCTTGGAGTGATGAGAACCCAGCCCAGGAGCCCGTCCCATGTGGCTAAACTCTACCATTAGGCAATGCTGTCTTTACTGCCTTGCAGTGGCTCAGCCCCCATGTTCTGGGACCCCAGCTGCTACATTCCGCTCAAAGATAGAGGCCCTGGAAAGGGTTGAGGTAGGGGGTGACAAGGAAAGCAGAATCTAGAGTTTCAGGAAGAATCAAGACAGGAATGTGGCTCTATGGATGTAGTGTCCTATCTCCTGATATGGAAGAAGGGGTCTACTAGCAGTGATTCTGAAGAGTCACCCACAAGGGGTTATTTGTACCATCCCAGGTTATCATCACCTATGTTCCCCACAACTTCAGGCAACAGATTCCAGGCTCAAAATACCAAGCCAAATGATTCTGGCAAGTGATACAGCAGGAGCACCAACAAAGACTGTTGTAGCAAAGAGATTAAGTAAGGTTAAACCCCAAACCAAAGATATACCACCTTTCTGAAATAAGAAGGGACAAAGGTACACATAGAGTGAGTGTGGGATATCATGCAATGTGTTAATGTGGGTGAGTGGGAAGATGTGAAGAAGTCACAGTCAAACCAATCCCATCTGCCCCCCAGAGACATACCCAGACACCCCTCTCCACTGCCCCACTCAGCTTTGCCTTGAGTCACTAAATTAAATTAAGATAGTGCCCTTTTTAGACCTTCCTTCTCCCTTATAGAGAGAGAAAGCTCTGGGAAAGACTGACAAATAATATTCCAGATGGGGGGGTAATGGTCTGCTCTACCCACAGAGACAGCAGCTCCCTGAGACACAGATGTGGCAGCCCCACTCTAAGGAAGTGCAGTGCGAGGTAGCTCCTCCAAGCTTTTCTCTGCCTGCTTCCCACCTTCATTTGCTCCCTTCCCCATGTAGCCAGAATTCTCCTAAAAAATACCTTGATGTGTATAAGTGCACTGTCCTAAAGGACTAACCCATCCTGTTGATTCATTAAAAACCTATTTATTCAATATATTCTTTATAGATGAATGAGCTAAGTACAGGGATATAACAATAGATAAAACAGACATGGCTCCTGAATTCCTGGAGCTTACGATCTAATAAGCGGATGATTAAAGAAGCAACTTAATTGTGTGATGAAGTCCCTTCTGAAGGAAGCATAGGTGCTCTGAGAATCAAACAGAGGCACTGAACCTCGTCAGAGGAGGTATGGAGGCTGCGGAAAGTCTGAGAAGGCTCCTCAGGGGAAAAGACACCTCTGAAGCAGAGACATTCAAATCCCCAATAACCAGAAGGACCAGTAAAGAACAGATAGGTGCAGGCAAATTCTATACCAGTCAGGTGTAGCCCACCACCTGTTTTTGTAAATATAGCCATGTCCATTCATTTACATATTGTCTAGAGCTGCTTTTCTGCTATGATACAAGAGTTGAGTAGTCACCGCAGAGACCACATGGCCTACAAAGCTTAATATATTTAACATCTGGCTATTTACAGAAAGGGCTTTCTGGCCCCTAGTCTAAAAGCTGATTTGAAGAAACTGCTACAGTTGTAATTGTCAAGAGACCAACTGATTTTGCCTCTGCTTTCAGAAATTGTTTCTTCACTCCCAAAGTTCTCATCTACTCCCAAAACATGGCCTTTCTCCCACTGCAGTGTCATTAGCGACCTACATGCCTGTCTCCCACATAGCCTATAAGCGCCACATCTACCTTATATCCTATTATATTCTCAGCACTTTGCACAGTGCCTGATATACATATACATATATACATATATGTGTGTGTGTATGTGTGTGTGTGTATATATAGTCAGTACTTGAAAATATTTTTAAATAAATCATACCCTAGTGTGTATGGAATTAAGGGAGAGGAGAGCTCTATAAAGGTGGTGAGGGAAGCAAGCAAATCTATAGTGTCCAAAAAATACATCATGGCGTTTTTTTTTTTTAAGTTTTTGGCCGGGGACGGGTTTGAACCCACCACCTCCAGTATATGGGGCTGGCACCCTACTCCTTTGAGCTCACCAATGAATAAAATACATCATGGCATTTTTTTAGGAAGTAAAAACCTATATTATGGGATGGGCTCCTCCTCCTTCCAGAGGGCCTAAGAGCAAGTCTTGTTAGTGTTCAGGGAAAGCCTTGGGTTAGCGCCTCAAACCCACACCTACATCCTGCAGTGAACCAGGTAAATTCAATGCCTTCAACCATCAGGCTTTCCTTTGAGGCAGCAAGCCTTCCTCTGAGGCAACTGGCAGGTTGCTCTTGGCAACTATCTCACTTTTAGTAGAGCAGATATCATGTGCTGTAAAGTCCTAGAATTAAAATTCTTTACTTCTTGACATTACTGTCTAAAAAAATGCCATGATGTATTTTATTCATTGGTGAGCTCCAGACCTACCTTCTTTTTTTTTTTCTTTGAGACAGAGTCTTACTATGTCATCCTCGGTACAGTGCCATGGTGTCACAGCTCATAACAACCTCAAACTCTTGGGCTTAAGTGATTCTCTTGCCTCAGCCTCCCAAGTAGCTGGGACTATAGGTGCCCGCAACAACACCCAGCTTTTTTGTTGTTGTTGTTGTTGTAGTTGTTACTGCTGTTTAGCAGGCCTGGGCTGGGTTCGAACCCACTAGCCCTGGTGTACGTGGCCAGCGCCCTAACCACTAAGCTACAGGCATCAAGCCAGACATACCATCTTTTTCTCCTTAGCCACCTTCATATTTTTTCTTCTCAACTGGCAAGTCACTTTCTTGCTAATACTTGTATTCATAAACCCCACCTTACCCAGAGACAGGCCCTATCTCATCACTTGTAAGGCCAAGCTTAACCTGTTCCATCAAAGACAGGTGATGGGTAGAAATTCCTGCCTAACACGGTTCTCCATCTCTCTTGGGCAGGGCCAGGGCCCTCCAGGTCCACTCACCTGGCTCTTCTACCACATACAGGATGGACTTTCCACTAGCGTCTTCATAGTACTGGAATCTGACGACACAGTCATCCTCATTCTTGTAGGTACAATTCACTGCATCCTTGCCGGTGTCCTCTGGGGGAAGGGAGATAGGGGAGTAAAAACTGAGGAAGTAACTAGGAGATGGGGCCACCCCAAACCCCCATCACAGGACTTCTGAGATATGTAACAGGAGCATGCTATCTGACATGTACAACATGCCTAGATTCAAGATGGCTGTCGTGTCTGACACTTGCCACTCACTGACCCTCACTGATATGGTTTGTCCTGCACAGGCCCTTTTTGGTCCTTATTCCTTCCTGTGTAAAGGGCACGATAAAATATTATTACACAATCTAATTCAAAGTCTGGTTTCACCACCTACCAACTATGTGATCTTGGCAAAGTTACTTGACCTCATCAAGTCTCTCTTTCTTCAGCTATAAAAAGAAAATGATACCCCCACCTCACAAGGTTGGTTGAGATTTAAACAGCATAAAGTAAACAGTTCCCAACATATAGTAGCTGTTCCCTTCCCTCTCCTTCCTTTCTCTGTTTGCTCAGTGATTCTCAACCATGTGTTTACCCAGGGCCATCCTCTCCTCTCTGACCCTACCATGTTTTATAGGCTTCATCCCTTCTAATTCTAAAACCTGTTGATCTGCTAATGACACTCCAGGTTATCCTCCACCAGCTATACTGTGCCCTACGCTAATGAAACCAGATGGGTAAAACTGACATGTGATGAGATTGAGCAAATGTACCAAGGTTGCACAGCATATAAATCATGGAGCAGTTTTAGAATAGGCGTCTCAAAACACATCCTACAGACCTGACCTCAACAAGCCTTTGGCAAACCAGTAGTATTATAGTACAGGGAGAAGAGGAAGGATTTCAGAATACAGTTCTCTGATTGATTGATTGATTGATTGATTGACTGAGACAGGTCTCACTCTGTCTCCCAGGCTTGAGTGCAGTGGCGTGAACACAGCTCACTGCAATCTCCAACTCCCAGACTCAAGCAATCCTCCAGGATCACCTCCCAAATAGTTGGGACTGTAAACATGCACCACTACACCTGGCTAATTCTTTTTAAGAGATTGGGGTCTCACTATGTTTTCCCAGGTTGGTCTTCAACTCCTGGCCTTAAGTAATCCTCATACCTCAGCCTGCAAAAGTGCTGAGATTACAGGCATGGGCCATCACACCTGGCCAGTTCTCATCCTAACTCACTACTTGTTGGGCCAGTTACTTAACTTTCCTAAGATTCAATTCCATCATCCACAAAATGAAGATAACAATAGTACTGTAATTTTACTTCACTAGGTTGTTGGAGAAGAGTAAGATCATGTATATGAAAGATCCCTTTATGACTTTTAAAAGTTATAAAATTCCATTCAAATAAGCATTTATTTTATGCTTATTATGGTGGTAAAAGGAACTGGAGGTATCAACTAATTTATAAATACCTGTCTGGCCTAGATGGTAAAAATCTCTCTCTCTGCATTTCAGCAGCCTCCATCCTCTGAGCTAATCACAGCAAGCAGACAAACTGCTTCTTTGAACTCAATCCCCAAATTGCACACCTCACCGCAGCACTGCTTCTGATACTAGCCAAAGACAATGGTTCAGAGATCTGAGTCTTTTCCATAACACCCCCACCCAGAATCTGACTGACTGGCTGTGTCTTACAGTGGCTCTCTCTAAAACATACTTCCTGTCTTCGTGAGAGATTGTTATCTCCTGGGCACCACCGCCCAATACCTAGCTGGCCCAGATAACCATATCAGATGTGCCAACAGCAGCAAAGATCATCTCCTTTTAAGTCAAAATGAAGTACAGCCCAGAATAATTGCAGCAAGATTTTTGCTCCCTACTGTTTATATTTTTGTCTGTCTTATTTCAGGAGAGGCTCCAGAGAGGCAGAGGGCTGTAGAATAAAGATTTGAGTTATAAATCCATAAAAGTGAAAGTTTTCTTCCAAGCCAGCAAAACTTTCATCAAAAGCGTAACACTCTTAGTTAAGTAAACTTGGTAAATGCTTACTAACCTAAACTTAAGGTGATGACCCACTTCACAACTCTATGCTTCAGTGTCTTCATCTGTAAAATGAGATACACTATCTTCCTTTCTTTGGGGAAGTGAAATTAGGGTTGCCTGATTTCTATACCCTTTAGAAGTTCTTTGCAGGATCTTGCTGAGTGTGTGGGCTCTGGGAAGCCAAAGTACAGGAAGTTGTCACACAATTTAATAAGGATACAGGGGGACCTTCCAGGATACCAGATTTCATCAAGTGCCCACTATAAATCAGGCCTGTGCAACATTCCTTGAAGTAAGAATTGCTCTTCCATTTTACAGATGGTTGTTGAAAAGGTTCTGAGATTGAACCAGAAACATTTACAACCCAGGTGTGTGCAACTCTTAAGATGTGCAGAACTTACTAAGCTCCTTCACTAACTCAATCTCATCACGGCAGTAACGGCTGCAGGTATTTTCCTCATGTAGGGTTCCTCGGTCAAACTTCTTACACTCCACACATTCCCTAAAGGAGAGAAGACACAAGGATTAAAATAAGGAAGAACAAGCCAAAGTGTGTCTCTGTCCAGCTTTGACCTCCATGCATCCAGAAAGCTGCTCCATCTCAGCTAAAATACATATCCATGCGTGCATCACACATACAGACACACATGCATGCAAGAAAATCCTGGGGACCACAATGGTCAAGTGTGGAGCTCGGGAGTGGAGTGTCCTCCTCACCCACAGGCAGACCTGGAAGCCAGAGGTCTCCTAGATCCTTCATTAAACTTCTTCCTGTCCTATCCACGGCTGTAACAGGATGGCGAACCCTATGCAACTTCTGGGAAACTTGATGTCAAAACTGGTCATATAAATGGGGAACCCAGTGAAAAATGAAAATGTCAGGTCCCTTTTCAAAAATGTCTAAGAGCCTTGGTGGTGACAGCAGAACATTTAAAGAAGCATGAGGCCCTTCTAAGTATGGGGCCCTGGATAGCTGCACAGGCTGTGCACCCTTGAATCTGGCCCTGCTTTAAGTGGTAAGAGGAATGGCAATGCCACAGACTAGAGGGACAGGGGCTTGTTCTGATCCCCAAAGGGGTTAAATGCCTCTGTTTCAGAGTAGGCTCCATAACTCCAGCCCCCACACCTCCCACCGAATCAGAACATGGGCACTGGAATGTTCCCCAGAAGGTATCTGGTTTAGCCCTCCTCCCAAATCAGGGGTTCAGGATGCCACCCCAGGGGTGGGCTTACTCCAACTGGAGTCCAGCTACACCACTCCAGCTTTCACTGGAAAGAGAAGAGCTGGCCATTTGGCTGGCGCTGACTCTTCTCCCTAAAGTTTCAATCAGTAAAAGACCTATCTGAAGAGTTAGGGATTCTAGTCTAGGGGATCTTCTCCCACCTCACAGCCTCCCAACTCTCTCCAAATCCCACTCACTTCTTAAAGGTACAGGCATCTGGGCAGGTGGGACACTTCTCACAGGTGACTCCATAGGAGCCCGGCTGGATGCAGACACAGCTGCCACATTCACACTTGCCCCAGCCACTACACAGAAGCCCATTGCTGGACATGCAGGTGTCAGTGCGTGTTGTACAGTTGCAATAGTACCCGGTCCAGTCGGAGTCACACAGGCAGTCCCCACAGCTGCACTGGCCATGTCCTGAAAGCACATAGTCCAAGAGGGCAGACCAGCTGGTGAGGTCCCATGATAGTAGGGTATAAGCAGCTGGCAGAGAATGGTCCTCCAGGTTGGCAGGGAATTGGCTCATTACCAGGGGAGCCCTACCCAGTGAGGACAAACTCAGTTTTCCTGCCAAGATTCAGCAGGATTTGGTCTAAGCCATCATAGAGCAAAGAGGTATCAGGAACTAAGTCCCCCAGGCATCCCGCCCTTTCTCTCCGCTATTCTGAACCCCTCTGCCTTCTCCCCTAACTTCTAATCTAAGGGCTAGAAGTAAGCTCTTCAGTCCTGAGGGCTGCCACAGCACTAAGCCACGGCCCCCAAGCCTAGACATGTCACTCAGTACCTTCATGGTGTGACCTGACCTCAGGCCCCAAAACTCTCTCCTTTTGACCTGACACAGGGGTGTTCTTCTCTCACACCTGACCTGAGAGGCCTACCATTGTCATCACTGTCAACACCTAACTGGGTTAGATGACAACATACGTTCCTGTTTGCACAGTCTGGTCCCTTCTCGCTAACAAATCAGCCATCAATGTAATTATTCCATTTCTCAAATCAGCAAAGATGTCACCTTGCAAGGTGAGAAGCAGAGCTCTAAAGAATACATGCAAGACAGGAAAATTGTAATACAGGGGAATGGAGAACAGGAAAGTTCCAGAGCACAGGATTTTTGCAAATGCCTGAGAAGGGAAGGTGCACACAGAGCACCTGTGAATGCATGCAGAGATGGGGCGGGGCATCCAAGGGGCAGAGGGAGGGCACTGAGAGCCCATGGAGTTGGCCAGTAGACCCAAGTAAGCACAGGGAACAAATATATCCTACCTCACAGGTGGCTGAGGGCCAATACAGTTAAATAAGTCCCATTACTGGGTGACATCCACAGCTCAGTGGGTAGGGTTCCAGCCACATACATAGAGGATGGCGGGTTCCAACCCAGCCTGGGCCAGCTAAAGCAACAATGACATCTGCAACAAAAAAATAGCTGGGCATTGTGGCAGGCACCTGTAGTCCCAGCTACTTGGGAGGTTGAGGCAAGAGAATCGCTTAAGCCCAACAGTTGGAGGTTGCTGTGAGCTGTGATGCCACAGCACTCTACCCAGGGCAACAGCTTCAGACTCCGTCTCAAAAAGAAAAATAAATCCCATGACTGCTAGAGAGAAAAGAAGTCAGGAAATAAGAGAAACTAAATGAAAAAGAGAGGGAGAGATCCTTAAGAGAACAGTGATAGAGACAATAGCTAGCAATGACATCACATAGGCCACTGGCCTCCTTCCCTGAGCCTCTGTTGCCTCACCCTTTGTCCTGCCTCTGCATTCAAAAGTTGAAACACACTAAACATTGTGAAACTTTTACCACAACTAAACATTGAAAAATCAATCAATTAATTGGGGGGGGGCGGGGCCGGGTTTGAACCCCCCACCTCCAGTATATGGGGCCAGTGCCCTACTCCTTTGAGCCACAAGCTCTGCCCTCAATTTTTTTTTCAAGTTATAGACACAGCTCAATTGTCTCCAGTCTCACCAAGACAAGCTGTTTTTCTTGCCCTGGTTCTCATCTCAATCTGACCTTGTTATATCATGTGTAGCCCTAGAAGTGTAGTAGAACAGCTTTAGAAAGCATTGAGAGCAGTGGTTCTCAACCTTCCTAATGCCGCAGCCCTTTAATACAGTTCCTGTGGGTTGCAACCCACAGGTTGAGAACCACTGATTTAGAGAAGAAAACTGTATCTTCCAAACCCACCAAGGAGATAAATGTTCCCAGGGGAAGGAGGTGCTAACAATAACTACAACAATGATAAGAATGGCTACAAACATCTGTTGAATATTTAATATGTGCCAAGCACTATGCCAAGTTCTTTAGTATGTTATTCTGTTCATTTCTTATAATAACCCTGTGAGGTCAGAGAGGTTAAGTAATTTTCCCAAGGCCACACAGTTTGTAAATGGCTGGATCAGGGCTCAAACTGAAGTCCCTGTGACTTCAGATCCCAATGGCTTAGCCTCTATGCAGTATTGTAAACAATGTTTTTCCCTATTTATACTAATATGGTCTTTCCAGAAGACTTCTATGACTTACAGAGAAAGCAGCCTTAACCATTAGAAGATAGGGCCAATTTTCGTGGAATATTTTTCAATTTGACCAGTGGAAGAAAAACTAAAGTAGGAAAAAGAGAGTCACAGAAAGTCCAGTAACTAAGCTTGATACCAATGAGAAATTTTAAGAACATTTTAAGAATTTAAATATACTAAACTATTCGAGTGGAGAGGACAGAAAGGGGGTTCTGACTACTGCGTTTCTGAACCTCGCTGTAGATGTATTCATCCCCTGCCCCCAACCTGGTCCTGTGCCCAGACAATGAAGTCCTCTCCGTTCTCCAGGTTATTGCCAATCCCTCTGTAGCTAGGATTCTCTTTTTAAAGCCTGCTTTCTCAAACTTAGTACTTGCTGATATTTGGTACTTTCTGATATTTGAAGCTAGATAAATCTTTGTTGTGGGGCTTGTTCTGTACACTCTAGCATGTTTAGCAGCATCCGTGGGCTCTACCTGCTAGATATCTATAGCACCTTTCTCGTTGTGAAAATTAAAAATGTCACCAATATTGCCAGACGTCCCCTGGGCAATAAAATAGCTCCTTCCTCCCACTGTTTTAAAACACTAATCAACTTGATCATGTCACTTACATGTTTAAAAACATAAAAACACTCCGTACTGCCTAAAGAATTAAGTCTAAGCCTTTAGCAAATATTCAAGACCTTTACAAGGGGCTCAGCCTCCTTCCAGGTTTATATCTCATCACCGACTTTGTATGGCCACACATCAGCTACCACTCCGAATGTTCCACCACCTTCTAAACTATCCTTACAGTCTTATGTTTCTGTTCATGCTGCTCACTCTACTCAAAATATCTTTTCATTCTGTGACCACCACCAAAATCAAATGTTCCTTCCTTCTTGTAACTTTTATTGACATTCCTAGGCAGAATCAACTGTCTATGTGTTTTCTCGGAATTTTATATCTACCTTCATTTTTACTCTTATTTTATGGTCATTTACTTGCCTATTTGTTTCTTTTTCTAGATTGTGAGCTCCTTGAAAGGAGAGAAAATGTTATATTTTTTCTGCTAGGCCAGGTGCAAGAACTCACTCCTATAACCCTAGCTCTTTGGAAGGCTGACCCAGGACTTTGAGACCACCCTGAACAACACAGCAAGACTCCATCTCTATAAAAAATTTAAAAATTACCCAGGCAGGGTGACATATGCCTGTAGTCCAAGCTACTTGAGAGGCTAAGGCAGAAGGATCACTTGAGTGCAGAAGTTTGCAGTGAGCTATGAGGATGCCACTGCACTCTAGTCTAACAGAGTGAGACCCTGTCTCAAAAAAATTTTTTTTGCCATCAACAGTAATTAGCATGAAATATGCTAAAGAGTAGGTTTACCATCAATGTTTATTCACTTATCTATTCATTCAACAAATTTATTAAGCTCATAGCCCATGCTGAGCACTAGAAATTCAGCATGAACAAGATAGACAAAGTTCCTCCAATTATGGCATTTACAACCTAAATTCCCAGAAAACGCACACACATTCACCAATGAGTGCCCTGTGCTGTATTATTTTACTACACAAAGAGCCATCAGCCCTAGCAGGAAAGACCTATTCACTCTATTACAAGTGTAGGAATGGGAGGAAAATAAGGTAGAGGGTTAGACTGTTTAAAGGCAGGCATGACCTCCCAATGCTGGAGCCTTCTAATATTCATTTAATAAAGCTTTAAAAGTTAAATTCTAAACCTTGCAGAAAGGTGACTCATTCTCTAGGACTCTGAATCAGGAAAAAGTGGATGAATAATAAAAATATGATTGTTAATCAGAGGAAAGGCAGAGGGTAAAGGGGAAGTAACCTGAATTGGTCTGGAAACCACGTCACTGTGAGCAGATGGGCCCCCAGGAGGTGGAGGGGTAGGTGGTACATGGCCAGGCTCAGAGAGCAGCTGGATGGCAGCCTGAATGGTGTCTCACAGCCCCCACAGGGCCTTCTGCTGCAGCCCCAGCACCATCCTCCAGTAACCACACCAGCATTTGAGACTCAGACACGCCTTCACTGCCTTTGAAAAAAATATCTATTTCCCGGAAAGGATGGGGGACATAGTCCCAGCTGCCCTAGCTTCCAGGTACATCTGGAGAGCGGGGGTGCCATGCTGGTGGGGAAAACAGAAAGGCTATCTGTCCTGAGGTTGGGGTCCCTAGAAGTATAGCTTGTGGTGATGACTCTTGGTCAAGTGACTTGCTGGGGCATTAGAGAGGAAGGAGGGAAGCAGGGGAGGACAAGATTCAAAACTGATAGGAATGTTTCAGCCAGAAACACCCTTCAGCCTGATCTCATGTGGGCTCAGGCACACAAATGGCACCACAGGGCTAGGCCCACCCTGAGTCAAAGGGGATTGGCTTTGTGTAACCCCTTGTCCCTCAGTCACTAGCCAACATCTAGGAGCAAGGAAGCTCCTGTCAGCAGAGGGCAATCCTGCAGAGAAGGGGCAGCTGTGAGCTGTCATCAGCCAACCCTCACAGCAGCTGGGGGAGGGGTGTGCCAGCCAGCAGAGCCCAGTCCCACAGCATCCACTACACCCTGCGTTTGACTGTGGCTTCTGGATAGGGACAGACCAACACCACAGAGGCCTCCTCAGAAACCCTTGTGTCATACTATTTCCTTTGTGAGGCTAAACAAAGTGATCTTTGACAAGATGGGCCAGTCAGGGAGTGAGGTTGGGAGTGGAAGTGGCAGGCCAGAGCAAGCAGGCTGCCCCAAGCCCTGGCAGGGTCAGCCTTAAAAAGGAAGCCACAGTGCAGTAATGTCACAGGACTGGCACCCCTCCAGCAAGAGGGAGGCTGAGCCTGAGTTCATAGGAAAGTCAGAGGAATCGGGGTAAGAAGTAAAAAGAAAGAGTGAAAGGAGAGGGAGGGAGGAGCAGGTGTTTCAGGCCAGAGGGAGCATGATCGCTCTCTCCATAGCTGGGCTGACGCTCTCCCCATACAGCTAGCCCAGCTGATGCGCAGCTCCACCCCTGCCCTTCCTCTGAGACCCTTCAGGCATCCCACCTCCTCCAAGAAGCTGCCCAATCCTCTGCTGTCCACAGGGTGTCTCTCCCAGTGGGCTCCTGTAACACCCCTGAGGACCTCTCACTGCTGGGCTCTGGGCTCTGTCAGATGCTGCCTGTGCACCATTCTGAGGCAAGTTCATGTGGGGGAACCTGTCCTCTTCATGCCTCTCTGTCCTATTCCTCTACAGCACAGGACCTAGCTCACACACGGTGCCTGATCCATCTATGTCTGTGGATGTGGCAGGTGTAACAGTCCCCTGAGGACAAGGCTGCACTCCTTGATGTTTGAGACAGAGATGTTGATAACAGGCAACCAGGGAGACCAGGCCTAAAGTAGGGAGGGGACGAGAGGCAGCCAAGGAACCAGGCACCATGCTTAGAGACCAGGGCTGTGGAAATGACTGAGTCACAGCTCTCCTGCCTCGTGAGACCCCACTGGTGCCAGAGGACAGACCACAGGGCCAGCAGGGACAATGGCAACCTGGGGTGTGAGAGATCAGAAATCATACGTGACCCGTTTACCTATGTGAACTGAATGTGGGCACAGAGGTATTCAATGAATGTGTGTCCCTGAGTATCTGTCTCTGGAGAATGTGGTAATGGCACCAAGAGTCCAGATCAGAGGGCAGTGGTGTACGTGAAACCCTGGCAAGAAGTGGCAAAGGGAGGCTGCAGTGGCTGCCCACAGTTCCCTCATGGATTAGCATTGAGGACTAATTGTTCTTACGGGAACCAGAGCTACTGACCCAGTCAGCTTTGTTTTGTGGGTTTAGTAGGGCTGGCAGCCAAGGGAAACACACTCTGGCTGGGATCCCTCCCACACTGCCTCACTCCAGACCAGGAACAATCGGGCCATGAGGAGGAGAGAGGTGTCATCTGCCTCTCCTAGGGCAACCCTCTCCCCCCTCAACGACCTCCTCTGCTGGTCTCCCATTTCCCTTGGTACTGTGAATTAGATGTAAATACTGTCAAATACTAACATGAATTGAAATTTCTGCCTCACCCCCTAATTCAAACGGCTGTTGTGTGTACCTAATCTCTCTACTACTTTCTTCCAAACTCTCTCTAAAATCTTGTAAACAATGTTGTAGATAATAAAAAGGAGTCATTTTTACATGACTTGGGCAAGCTATGAATGACACAGGCTTACCTTTCCCTAATGTGCTTTTTAAAAGAATAATGTAGTGTTAAAGTAAACATCTGCTGAGCTCCAGGAACCCCAATGCAAATGCAATCTAAATCAAGATCATGACAGAAAACAATTATAATCTTTCTGTTCAAATGGCCACACAATACACCCATAACTTAGTCCCCAACCAACTTGCAGGTAAGTGTCTGCAACCTGTCTGTCATCAAAGCGATTAAGCCACAGCAATTATGGCTCAGCAAAAACCTATTCCCAGTACCTGGAAACAGCAGCTCAGACTGTTTGTGTACCCTGTAAGAGTGTTGGCAGCATGTCTACAGATAAAGACTATGTATGACTTCAACTTCTAGCTGGGGAGGTCCCCCAGGAATGGTTTGGGGGGGCAAGGAGACACTAGTTTGAAATTAGCAATGGGCCTGAGATTTTACTGCATTTTGTAATGAGAGGGAAACTCAGCACCCTGCAGGAGCAAGACTCAAAATCATAACCCCCAACCAGTAGCCAAGGACTCTCTCTGTGGCAGCACTATCCAACAGAACTTTCTGTCATGTTGAAACTGAAGATCTGCACTGTCCCATACAGCAGCCACTAGCCACGTGCAGCTACTGATCAACAGAAGAACTGAACTTCTTTTTTTTTTTTGTATTTTGATTAACTTAAATAGCCCCATGTGACTAATGGCTACCACTTTGGACACCACAGATCTAGAATCCAAAAAGTAATAATACCAATAGTAGTGATGGCAATAACAAAATAGTGCTAACATTTAATAAAAACATGATACCATTTTGCAGACATTGTTCTAATAGCTCACTAAGTGTGCTTCAATGTCTTAAAGGTGTACTCCTATTTTCCAAGCCTCTTAGGATAAAAAGATAAATTCATGTAAAATTCTTACTAACTTTACTATATATCCTGACATCATGTGTTTTGGAAGTCTATAAATATTAAAAATTTAATTGCCATCTAGTAGTGATTTTTTTTAACCTAAAACGGGATTTGGTCCTTATACTCAAAAAGATTAGGAATCATTGACTTACAGCTCTGCCCGCCTTTGCCCACCTCACGCCCTCCCCTGTGTTCCCACACAGATGTGTGAAAGTATATGGGATCCCAGATGGAAGGGCCCGCAGTTCTCCTCACCTGAGCACATCTCCCCCCTGTAGCGGACACAGGAGAAGTCATCGCACTCACAGTACTTGCCGGTGATCTTGCCAAAGTCACTACTGTGGCAGACACACTGACCACAGAGGCACTCGCCCCGCTGGCTGCAGATGGGCTGGCCCTCCCGAGGGCTGCACTCATCCTGCTGGGAGGGGCGGTAGTCCTCCTCCGAGCATTCGCACTGAGACCCCAGCCATCCAGGCCCGCAGCGGCAAATCCCACACTCAAAGGTCCCATTGCCATTGTTACAGCGGTGGCTGTGAGGCTCAGCCTGGGCCTGGCAAGCACAGTCGCAGTCAAAGGTGACTTGGACAGTGAGGCTGTCCTTAAAGCCCACAGGCTTGATGGTGAAAGACTTCTCTTTCTCCTTGGGGCAGCCGCGCACCTTGGCCTCAATGCTGAAGCTCACCTGGATGGAAAGCAAGATCAAATTCAGTTAACACTCCTACCCAGTTAACACTTCCACCCTAGAGGAAAAATAGTCATTCCCTGCCCTGCCAAGGAATACCCAAACTGGGCATCTAATCACCTTCGATCTGGAGCTCCTTGGCCTTCTCACTAGCAAAGTCTACAAAGCAAAAATGATAGCACTGGGATAGCTATGCCTCTGTGACATATCCAGCTGGATACAGAGACACGGCTTATAGTCATTAACTAGAAAGCTAGCCCGCTGCAATGGTTCACATTTGTGGTCCCAACACTCGAGGAAGTCGAGGCAGGTAGATTGCTTGAGCTCAGGAGTTTGAACCATCCTGAGCAAGAGCAAAACCTCATCTCTACTAGCAATAGAAAAACTAACTGGGCATTGTGACTGGGCATCAGACTCAGGAGGCTGAAGCAAGAGGACTGCTCAAGCCCAAGAGTTTGAGGTTGCTGTGAGCTATGATGCCACAGCATTCTACCCAAGGCAACAGAGTGAGACTGTCTCAAAAAAAAAAAAAAAAAGTAGAAGTAGAAGGCTGTTTCTTTATTCCAACATGTTAAAATAAACCAGCTCAAGCTAAACAGAGTGACCTTGTGAACATTTGCTCTGGCCAACTGAGCTAGCAGACTAATTACACACAATATCAGCAAGGTACATAGCACACTACAGTATTCTGCATCTCACAATGCCATGTGGTGGTCAACCATAAGCTCAGGATCTACTTCCTGAGTTCAACTTCCATGTGACATTGCGTCACTCATGTCTGCAGTCAAGCACATTTCAGGCCAGTATTTTTTATGTGGGGTGGATGCACATGTACTTAGAAAAGATAAGCAGATGGATGGATAGGTCAACAGAAAGGATCAATGGATCAAAAAATCTATTTTGCTTCTTTCTTCCCTGTCCCTCCCCTTAGGCAGGAGCAGAGAAGAACCACCCAATAAGGAAACCCACGGAGTAACTGGAGGGGCAAAAGGACCATTTGCATTCTTAAATTCCATGAGGGCAGGCATTTTTGCCTCTTCCATTTGCTGCTGAATCTTCAGCAGCGAGAACAATGCCTGGCACGTTTATTGAACATTTTCAGTGCTCAATAAATATTTACAGATGATACTGGCATTTTGTATTATAGAGAAAAGCTGGGGGAAGGCCTAGAAACTGGTGAAAAGAAAAATGTTAATATTACCTGGGGGAAGGCCTGGAAACTGGGTAAGAACTTAAGGTAAGAAATACTTTCATTTATAATCAACTGCACATGCACAAACCAGAGTAACCAAAAATTCCAGTTTTTAAAAACCTTGATAGTGAAGTTCACTTAACAGATACAAATGGCTTAGGCAACAGAAGCCTTAGAGAAAAGGATTGCCAAACCCATTACATCTAACTTGTGATGACTTTCAGGAAGAAAGGGGGTGGGGTGCCCACAGATGGTCCAGGAGACAGGCCAGGGTTGGAGCTTCAGCCTCTGCCCAGCCCATCTCACCGTGTCTCCGATCTTGAGTCCCACACAGGACTTGAGGCCTGGGATGACCTCGTTGTTGAGGCAGGTGGCGTTGAAGGATAGAGACAACTCCTCAGGGAGGTCACGCACTTCCAGCTCTACTTTAGAGCGGATTTTCTGAATAGAAAATGGAAAAAGAAGGTAAGGAACTGAGCTAAACTGCAAGAGCCTATTCCATCCCAAGCAAAATCTAGAAGGTAGCCCTGGACTCACCCTGACAATGCCTGATGCTAAGGTTTGCCTGGAAGCTGCCAGAGTACCCCAAGAAGGCTGTTTCCTGCCCAGGACCCTGCTCCACTGTGTCTGTCTCCACTGTGTCTAGGCAAGTCTAGGTAAAGTCTACCAACTACATCCTTCTGCAGGCCCCATGGCTTTGCAATAGGGGAGCACCAACACTGGTCACCATGGGTAACAGCACTTTCTACCTAATTTGTAATCATCCTCACCTTCCCCATAGCTCAGCTCTCTCCTTTCTCTGTTGTGAGAGCCCAGCTCTCCCCTACTTTTTGCCCCCTACCATTTCAAGGCCCTGCTCCTTCTCCATCAATCACCATCCCCATGCCACTCCCTCTAAGCTCTCTACTCACTGTCCCTATTGCTCCCTGGCATTTCCTTCCCAGACTGGCCATTGCCTAGCTTCCAGGAGCACAAGAGGGAAGCAGCGAGGCTGTGTGGTAAGCTGGCAGCCAGGACTCCCAAATCTGAGCACTGCTGCATTAGCTAGACAAGGTGAACTAGCAGGCTCATTCCCAGTGCAAGACACTTACCCCATAAGCGTCAACAATGAGCTGGAGGACATTGCTGGAATCAGTGGAGAGAACCCCCACTGTGGTCCCTGGGATGAGTTCACTATAGTTCTACAAAAGAAGACAAAGATGTCCAGAGTTTACTGAAGGAAAGTGGGATATTCCGCTTGTCCCTGCCAGGAATATATTTAGCAGCTTTTTAGCCCCAAGTAAAGGTATAGGAAACCTCTTATACCCCAACCCCTCAGAATCATCTGTCCCTCACCATCATAAACATCAACACACTCTTCCTAGTAAGTTCAAGGTTGCAGGAGAAAGACCCAGAGCAGGATGTGGCTTCTGGGGAGTGGGGTAGAGAAGAGTCTATCCTTGCTGGAGACCACGGCTAATGCTAGCTCCCTGGGGCAGGTCCCCCAGCCCAGGGTCTTATTCCAGGAAGCCCAAAGGCATTGTCACCTGATAGAGACTGACTACACTTTCAGTCACTGCAAAGATCAAATTGATGTTGTTCTGAGATAGCTTCTCAGTCATCAGCCCCAAAGAGGGATAATCCTGGAAAAATGAAAGAAATAGAGGTTAATGAAGTCTCATATATATCCCTAGATTCGGAGCCTCACAACTTGGTTGACTTGGGCTGTGGCACAGAGAGCAGTGATGCTTAAACCTTTTCACCCCTTGGTGAAAGTCAGACAAGAAGGCTAAGTAGCAGCACAGTTCTAGTTGTGAACTCTAGGGATAGATGAACAAGTGCAGGTTGGTGGTATCAAAACGAAGCACCTCTCTTCCTACTCAAATTCAATGCATTAATACCTCAGAGCAACTTCCAGGGGCAGTTGGGTTGGCCTCCTTGTTTGCAAGCTCCTGACAAATGCCTTGGTCTGGCCTTTATGACCTTCTACCACATGGGTCTCAGCATCCCTTTCCAAATACTACTCACCTTTCTCTCTCCTCCACTCAGCACCAATGGGGCCTACTCTCTTTCTCCCACCTGGAGTGACCTTCTTTTTGGTAGTCCTCCTCCGTCCTTAAGACCCACCTCAAGCCCCACCTTCTTCCAGAGGCCTTCCTTGATCATCCCAGCTCACCCACCATGACCTTTCCTCTCTTGGGTACCCAAAGCCCTTGTTGACTGTGCTACCCATTCAGCACTAATAATGACTGATCTTGTGTTATTAGTAAACACATACATCTCCTCAGCTAAACCAAAAACAACCTAAATGATAGAATCATACAAGTCTCTTTACCTCCTTCAGCCTCTAGTCAGTACCTTGCATAGATTACTGTTTGACTCAGTGCTCAACTTGGATATGGCTGACACCAAGGAACTCAAAGACATGCAAATATCCCTGGGATCAGAAATGCTGTAGGACGTTCAGGAGATCATCCAGCTCAGGCTCCTGCCTTTACACAAGGGTACCTTTAAGCCATGTAAATGAGGCAGTTGCTATATTGTCTTTTGGAGATGAAGAGTTCACATCTCCTCCCAGATACCTAGAACATCAACATTCTGAGCATCATCGCTCCTTTTCTCAATTTAAACTCTTTTCCTCTTATTGAACCATCTACAGCCATATAAAACAACTTATAGGGAGTCTTATACATCAGCTAAATCATCCTTCTTTCTTTAAACTTGGCCCTTTAACCTTTCCTCATAGGACCTTCCCTCCATGCTTTTGATGATCTTTCTCTTTTTCCTCTATCCTCTTCCAATATCCCCAAGTGTTATGGTATTCCAAGAAGGAACTAAACAGAGCAGGAAGGAAGACACACTTTCCAGCTGGACCTAGAAAAGTCCTTTGGGTCCATTCTGGAGGTTATGACACTGCCGCCGGTAACAGTCGCACCAGTGATAACATGTCAGGGCCATCTCCCATGGCTGTGCTGGTTGTACCTAAGATGAGGGTGTCCAGGCTCGGCACCTGTGGCTCAAGTGGCTAAGGCACCAGCCACATACACCTAAGGTGGTGGGTTCAAATCCAGCCCGGGCCGCCAAAACAACAATGACGGCTGCAACCAAAAAATAGCCGGGCTTTATGGCGGGCGCTTGTGGTCCCAGCTACTTGGGAGGCTGAGGTAGGAGACTCACTTGAGCCCAGGAGTTGGAGGTTGCTGTGAGCTGTGATGCCACAGAACTATACCCAGGGGGATAGCTTAAGGCTCTGTCTCAAAAAAAAAAAAAAAAAAGATGAGGGTGTCCAGTTGGTAGGGATCAGGACAGGCTGAAACCAAGCCTTGCACTCTGCCCAGAGGTAGGGCTGTCATTTTCATATTCACACAAAATTCTGCCTGGGTCAGAGCAGCACTAGCCATAGTAAACAGAGACCACAGAGAACACCAGAGATCTCACCATAGTAGTGGAGGCAGAATAATGATTGTCACTGCCAATATGACACTGCCCATCATTGGGCTGAACAATGCCTGCCAGTCTTCCATCCAGTGCTATATGAGTCTTGGCATCAGTGGTAAACACCAGCAGGTGGGATGCGTCATTCCTCCAGCCAATCTTTTCCTGTTGAGAAAAGAAAAAAAGGGAGAAGCAACAAAGCAACTTCGGTCATGTCTTTGGTGGAGAACAAAGACCCAAAGACCTCCCTGGATGAAGGACTGGATAAGCTGTCTTGGAGAAGGGCCTCAGTTCCAGCCCCTGGAACCCAAGCTGGAGCTTTCCAATTTAGGGGTTTCTGTTCTCTTAGGAAAACAATAATCTCATAGCTAATTAGTTCAAGCATCTGTATAGACATTTTTATTTTGAGACAGACTCTCACTATGTTGTCCTCGGTAGAGTGCCATGGCATCATAGCTCACAGCAACCTTAAAATCTTGGGCTTAAGCACTTCTCCTGCCTCAGCCTCCCAAGTAGCTGGGACTACAGATGCCTACCACAACGCCCAGCTATTTTTTTGTTGTTGCAGTTGTCATTGTTGTTTAGCAGGCCCAGGCCAGGTTCGAACCCACCAGCTTTGGTGTATGTGGCCAGCACCCTAACCACTGAGATACAGGCATCAAGCCTAGTTCAAGCATCTGAATGATTCCTTCTTCAACTCCAAACATAACTCTCCAGTGACAATCACATTAGAATCAGATCTAGAAATCAATCACATCTAGAAACTGACCTGCAATGACAGAACTGGGATGGGCTAGAAGAAATCTCACTTGAACATTTGCCCACTTTGCTGAGGTTAAGTTAACCCAAATAATTCCAAACCAAGTGGGAAGATGTTCTTCCAAAGGGAAATCTGGGATTACTGAGGTTCAAGGAAATGTCAGCTCTGGCGAGGGAGTGGATATAGGCAGAGACTGCACACAAAGAGCAACTTCTTACTCAGGCTGCATGAAGCTCTGCTTAGTTCTTGTCTCTTACCTCATACCAGAAATCCCCAGAGGTGAGCCACTTCCTTCCCCATTTTGATCTGTGCCAACCACACCTGGCACTGCATGCCCTCCAAACTCACATCACAGACTGTAGCCTGCATGATGGCATCAAAGCCTCCCTCTGGGGCATCTCGGTTCCGTGACACATTCTGCTTCTTCACCTCCTCATTGAAGCGGGTCACCTGGTCAGTAAGCGTCAGCACGTGTTTGTATCCAAACATGGGCAAACAGGTGAGCTTCATACTGGGGAAAGACAGGAGATAATTTAATCAGGTGTCCTGATGGAAAAGGCAGCATGGGGATTGAGAGGGAAAGAAAAGGGGACAAATGCAGATAGTGGTATTGCCAGGCCAGTTCCATATACCTACAATGACCCAGAGAGTTCAGACTGCAAACTCCTCAAATTACCTGAGACATCACATCAGCCTTACCTTGAGCTAATCTAGAGGATAAAAGAGTAAGCTGCCTGGGTTCAAATCCCAGCTGCCCCATTTACTAGTCATGGGACCTTCAACAAGCCTCTCTGAACCTAACTTACAAAAACGAGCAAGCAATAGCACATATCACAGAAGTTGCTGTGAGGCTTAAGTGAGTTAACACATATAAAGTACTTAGTTCAGAGGGAGGCTCAAGTTGTTGCTGCCACCTTATGCTTTACACCTCCCTAAAGAAGCAATAAAGCAAAAGTCTGACAATAAGTTAAAGTGCCTGAACCATCAATAAATTGATAGATCATGCCAGACAGGAGCACTTCTGTCCCCAGACTAGTAGTTTACTTGTTTGATTGATAGCTGATGTCTTTAATGGGAAACCTTACAACCAAGACAGAAGGTTAAAGGCCACATCATACAACTCTGGAACCTAAAAAGTAAATTCATATCATGTCAGACTCAGTAACCACTATTTCAAATTATTATAATTCATAGATTTTGCATCCACTACTTAAATAAGTAAGCCAAAGTGTCAAACAGAAGTGTAAGTTATCAATTTATAGACTACTAAAGGGCTCGGTAAAGGTCATCTCCCACTCTTCTTCTACGACTCAGTTTCTTATATTTTTAACCCTACAGTTTGCATAGGCTTGATGATGATAAGGACAAACAATGACAACACAATGGAATTGATGATTCTGAAATCCTAATTTCTTTATTTACTTACCAATAAATTTCTCTCTACTTCTGACCTCATGTCCCTCCCATTCTCTCTTGCCTCTCATTTGTTTGCAACCAAGAACAAGAAGCTGATGAATTTTCTTTCTAGATCTCCACACACCCTTGGACTCTATTGACCCAACACTCCAGATCAAAGGCTGGCCCATTTGCCAGACAGGGAGACAAAGAGAAAAACAAGCTATGGTTTGGCCAGAAGGCAGCCAACAAGGTTACCCTAGAGCTAGAAAGAGGAACCAGGACTTGGTCTGCCTAGAGCAAAGTGAGGGGTGCTATCCTGGCTTCTGGAAGAGGCACTTACTCATAGCAGGGGTTCTTGAGGGCCTCTGGTGGGGAAATGAACATGTAGGGTGACATAGGCTTGTCTACAAAGGCCCCGAAGCCAATCCGCAGGTTGCTGGTGAGCTTTCCCATCTGGAAGGCCAGTTTAGTACCCAAGTTATGGATGTTCCACAGATCATCCTTCATGGAGTAAGATAGATCCATCAAGTAGTAGATGTCTACAGGGTAATCCTCCACCTGCCGTACTTGGATGGAGAAATTCTTCGAATCATCTAGAAGGCAGAAAGATATTAATTTTTCTTCTCTTCTCCCTCTAAGACTGAATAAGTAGATGTGGACACAGTGGAACTAAGTAACTGCTCAATCAAGCCAAACTTGAAATCCCAGGTTCCTTCTCCTTTTCCCTTGTAATTTTATTACTCTTCCAATCTCTTGACTCTTCTATTTTTAACCTCTTCTTTCCATTCTAAAATTTTCCACCTTCTCTAACTACCCATCTGTCCAGTCCTCTGGGTCCCAATGGCCTATCACTGTGAGTCACAGAGGTTTTGGCAGTACTCTGCCAGACTCTGTAAAAGACAGAACTACATCCTATCCTTCTCTGAATCCCACAACACCAAACACATACCTTGCACAGAGGAGGTCGCTCTTAAATTCTCCTTGATTTAATTGGAAAGTCAAAATCAATGCTTCAAAAAGCCTATCTCTTTTTTTTTTTTTTTTTTTTTTGAGACAGAGCCTCAAGCTGTCCCCCTGGGTAGAGTGCCGTGGCATTACAGCTCACAGCAACCTCCAACTCCTGGGCTCAAGCGAGTCTCCTGCCTCCGCCTCCCAAGTAGCTGGGACCACAGGCACCCGCCACAACGCCTGGCTATTTTTTGGTTGCAGCCGTCATTGTTGTTTGGCGGGTCCGGGCTAGGGATTTGAACCCGCCACCTTAGGTGTACATGGCTGGCGCCTTAGCCGGTTGAGCCATAGGCGCTGAGCCAAAAAGCCTATCTCTTAGTTTAATCTTTCATCCCTCTAAAGGTCTTCTGTCCCTAATTTATCTTCCTCCATACTCCTTCCCTAATCCTCCTTGGAAAGAGAGCTTATAAGTTGCTTTTTCATCCTATACAGTAGGACCTCTGTAAGTTGACCACTCAAGGGACTGTAACAAACTGGTCAACATAAGGAACTTCCATTGACACAGCACTCCACAGAGTACATGTGGTACATGTTCAGTCTATGAAAATTAGGTCAACTTAAAGAGGTGGTCGATACAGGGAGGTGGTCAACTACAGAAGTTCTACTGTATTTCATTCGCACCTCAATACAAAGCTGTAAGCTAGGTAAAACAGGCAATGGAGGAAAGAAGAAACAAAAATTATTTTGAGGACCTGCTATGCCAGGAGGGTTGAGTAACCTGCCCAATAGTTAATATGTGGTGAGGTCAAGATTCAAACTCAGATCTTCTGACTCAGGTCCTAACATTTTATTTTCATCCATTCTCCTACCCACACCTCTCCTTAATCCTTCTCTTCCTTCCCCATCTTCATTCTGAGCTACTTCCCCAAGATTTCATGCTTCAACTTCCAACTTGTATTCTATGCCCACCTGCCCCAGGTCTCTCACTCTCTCGATGAGTCCCATCCCTACCTGGCCGGAGCCTGAGTGCAATCCTCTGGGGACTGACTTGAGTTATCTGGGAGCTGTCTCCAGAGCCCTTGTCGCTGAGAGGCCTGGCCTCTAGTACTCGGGCCTCACTGACCGGGAACTCGATGGACTCCGGGGCACAGTTATCCTTCAGCAGTTTCTCCTTCAGGTCGCAGCGGGATGAACCCCGAGGCAGGGCCTGTAAGACAGGATCCCAAGGGGAGCCCTGTAATCAGAGCTATGATGGCTCTCTGCTTCTTATAGGCTCTGCCACCTCTCAGTAGCTTGGAGTTGACCCAGCACTTTGAAGCTAAGCCAGCATAAGTAAATTGGTGTGGTCCTTCCTAGGATAATCCTGAGGACTGTTGTACAGAAAGGGGAAAGTGAGGCATCAGAAAGGGCTGTTCATGAATTGATAGGTAGGAAGTAGTCCTGTGCATTAAGAGGCCTGTAGACCACCATTTTTCAAGCTGCAAAATGCAACTCATTTGTGGGTGCCAAAATCACTTTAACAGGTATCAAGCATTAAATAAAATGCAATAGAATAGTATAGAAAATATAGGGCTATAAGTAGAAAAATTAAGTGTTGCTTTGTGCAACTTTTATGTATTGAGGGTGGGTCTAAAACATGTGCAATAAATGATATAGAGTACGACGTGATTCTTTCTGTAGATCAGGGCCAAACAGCTGTAACACTACAGAAAGCTGCAGTGTTAGACCCTGGCTCTGAGATCCACAAAGGCAGGGACTATGTGTGTCTTGTTCCCTCTCTATTCCCTGTGCTCAGCCCAGGACTTATCATAAAGGTGATAGGTAAGGCAGAAGAGAGAAAGGGCCAAGAGTACAGAAGTAGATTGGCTGAGACCAAATTGGCATTGCCACTTAAAACTGCATACTAGAGTGAGTCACCGAAGTTCTATAAGCCTAGTTTCCTCAGCTGTAATATGAAAATAATAATAGTTCCTTCCTACCCTCATAAGAGAAAAAGTCAAATCAATTCACAGTGTAGGACAGGGGAATAAGGGAGCGGGAAGAGGGGAGGAGAGAGGGGGATGGGGTTACAGTAGATGGCACAGTGTACAGCACATCTTATGGGGGCAAGACCCAATTATAAGAGGGACTTTACCTAACAAATGCAAACAATGTGATCTAATTCTTTGTATCCTCAATGAACCTGAAGCAATAAAAAATAATAATAGTTCCACCCTGGGTATTTAGTATAGTCAAAATCAGAGAGTCTGTTTGTTCCCAGGGGCTGGGGAGAAGGAGGAATGAGAAATTTTTGTTTAATTGGCACAGAGCTTCAGTTTTACAAGATGAAAAGAGATAAGGAGATAGATGGTGATGATGGTTTCACAACATTATGAAATTATTTAATACCACTGTACAGTTAAAAATGGCTAGTGGCTTATGCCTGTAATCCTAGCACTTTGGGAAGCCAAGCCAGTCTGAGCAACATAGCAAGACCCTTGTCCCTACAAAAACATTTTTAAAAAATTAGCCAGGCATGGTGTCATGTGCCTGTCATCCCAGCTACTTCAGAGGCTGAGGCAAAAGGATCACTTGAGACCAGCAGTTTGAGGTTTCTGTGAGCTACAGCAACACCACTGCACGCTAGCCTGGGCAAGAGAGCAAGACCCTGTCTCAAAAAAAAAAAAAAATGGGCTTGGTGCCTGTGGCTTATGAGGCTAAGGCAGCAGCCACATACACCAGAGCTGGCGGGTTTGAATCCAGCCTGGGCCTGGGAAACAACAATGACAACTACAACCAAAAAATAGCCAGGTGTTGTGGTGGGCACCCGTAGTCCCAGCTACTTCGGAGGGAAAGGCAAGAGAATCACTTAAGCCCGGGAGTTGGAAGTTGCTGTGAGCTGTGATGCCACGGTACTCTACCCAGGGTGACAGCGTGAGGCTCTGTCTCCATAAGAAAACAGACACCAATAAAGAAAATATGTCATTATAAATTTAAAAAGTGGTTAGGATGATAAAATTCTGTTATATATATTTTACCACAATAAAAAGTACTAAAAAATAATAATGATATCCCTTCCTCACAGGATAGCACACAGAGCTAAATAAGACAATACACCCAAAATGCATAGCACGATGCCTGACATAGAGTAAGTGCTCTGTAAATGTTAGATGTGATTCTGAGATGCTTAAGAAATACTTCCTGACAAATTAATTATGAACAAACCCCATATTGCCAGCTACCTGGCCAGAACCTATCCTATCACTTCAGCTTCCTTCTTCACCATGAACAAATAGCAAACTGAACATCTTCCAAAAACCCTGGCATATCCATAGCCTCTGGGGCCTCTGTGCTTATATCCGAGCATTGAACAGGGGATACACTATACTGGGAAAAAACACTGGGAATCAGGAAAATCCTAAATCTGCCACTAATAAGTCACTCTGAACCTCAGTTTCCTCACCTATCTAATAAGGTAGTTAGATGACATGGTGTTCTCAGCCCCTTCCTGCCCTGACATTTCAGCCCTGTGTAGGCCTATGTCCATGAAGGCTCCTTGACAGGTTGAGAAGACTGGCCAGAAAGCTGAAAAACCCCTTCTGGGCCTATTTCACAACATCTAGGCCAGTGTTTTCCAGCCATTTTTATCTCACAGAACCTATAATTAAACTTTTGCAGCATACTTACATTATGTTGACCAAAAAAAAGAGTAAAAGAAAAAAAGGAGAATATAATTACTGTGCTCTGAACTTCTTTTAAAAATAATTTAATTAATTTGATATTTAAAAATCTTTGTGACATACCTAGGATCCTCTCACAGCACACAGGTTGAAAATCACTGATCTAGACCTTCAGACTCACCCCTCACACCCATGCCTACCCACTTACCCCACAACCTCTTTCAAAAGTCAGCTAGACAACCCATGCCAATATCCCAGAACAAGTAGAGTTAACATTCATTGAGCACTTACTGTATGTCAGGCACTGTGATGAACATATTGCAGTATTCTGGACAGTTCTGTAATGCTGGAACTATTATTATTTTACAAGTGAGGAGCCTGAGGCTTGGAGGTGTCACAAGTGAGGAACCCATTCCTACAGGCAAAGAAATCTGAGGCTAGAAGTAACAGAGCTAGGAAGTGGCAGCATTGAAATGCTAATTAGATTGAACTACTATAATTATCCTCACAAAAATAACTTAAAGGGGTGTCTAACCTACAAAAATAGCTTAAAGGGGTGTCTAACCTACAGCCTCACACGTGGATTAAGTGAGGACTTTTTTTTTTTTTGAGACATAGTCTCAAGCTGTCGTCCTGGGTAGAGTGCCATGGCATCATAGCCCACAACAACCTCTAACTCAGGCTCAAGCAATCCTCTTGCCTCAGTTTTTCTATTTTTAGTAGAGACTGAGGTCTTGCTTTTTTGCTCAGGCTGGTTTCAAACTCATGAGCTCAAGCAATCCACCGACATAGGCCTCCCAGAGTACTAGGATTACAGGCGTGAGCCACCACGCCCAGCCTAAGTGAGAACATTTTTGCTTATTTGTGGTGGCAGATATCATGAAAACTATGCACGGAACTTTTTGTTGCTGTTCATCGCTTTCCTTAGTGTTTGTGTATTTTTTTTTTTTTTTGAGACAGCGCCTCAAGCTGTCCCCCTGGGTAGAGTGCCATGGCAGGTAGAGCGCACAGCAACCTCCAACTCCTGGGCTCAAGCGAGTCCCCTGCCCCAGCCTCCCAAGTAGCCGGGACCACAGGCGCCCGCCACAACACCCAGCCATTTTTTGGTTGCAGCCATCATTGTTGTTTGGCGGGCCCGGGCTGGGGATTTGAACCTGCCACCCCAGGTGTATGCGGCTGGCGCCCTAGCCGCTCGAGCCACAGGCGCCGAGCCAGTGTTTGTGTGTTTTCATGTGCAGCCCAGACAAACTCTTCTTCAAACATAACGCAGAAATGCCAAAAGGTTGTACATCCCTGGCTCAGTGAGAGTCAAGGCAAAGAGCAGGAGTGTGGAAGGGATGGTCCCAGGAAGAGCCACCACAGAGAATGCCCCAGGTAGGGACCAGAATGCAAGATGGGAATGTAAGAGGTGTAGAGATGCATGGATAACATCCTGCCTCCCCAGATCCAGGGACCAGAATGCAAGATGGGAATGTGAGAGGTGTAGAGATGGATGGTTAACATCCTGCCTCCCCAGATCCCTCATTTGACCTGGTAGCCATGCCAGGAGAGGGACTGGCCAGAAGGAGCTGTCCATACTCAAAAACTCTCCATCGCCAAACCCTTCCCAGTCCTCAAAGTCTCTCTCTTTCCTCCACCCAGGACCCCTCTGATAGGGCAAAAGGCTTTCCCATGTGGATGGAAACACCAGCAACACCAGTGGCTTGCGGACCTCCCTGGCCTAAGCAGAAAGCAAGAAGAGCTTCTGGAAGCAAGCAGCTTCCTTCTTTCTCTCTCAGTCAGCCTCACAGGTATGCAGGTAGAGAAATGGCCTCAGCAGTGGGAACCAGTAAGTAAGGCTTAACCTTCCTGGTGGCAAATATCCCAGACCCTCCGCAACTCACAGGAAGATGAACGTCTCCTCCCCAACAGCCAGCTCTGGCGGAGGGACAGAATGGCCACAGAAGAATACAGAGGTACTTTAGGTTTTGTGCCCAGACTCCTCTTGTTGTCCCTGCCCATCTCTCCCACCTTCTGTCCCTCAGGAAGCAGCCTCTTTCTTGATCAAAACACTCACAACCCCCATCACTGATTCCAGCTGCTCACAAAGCCCCAGGGAGAAAACCTTCCAAAAAAGGCAATGATTGGATAGACCAAGATGCAGTGAGGAGGTGATCCTTTCCTGGACAAAGCCAGATGCAGAAGGAGAGATCAGAGACGGGGGAGACCAGGGAGCAAGGTGGTCCTGTATCTTCTGGCTGCCTCAGCAAAGGGAGGGAATGTTTTGTTCAGAGAGGGGTTTCCTGACTCCCATTCCTACCATGGCAATCTTGGTTAGAAGAGGGTTTCAAGAGCTAAGAAGTGCTAACAGTCCTTATGTTTTGTTGTGAGTTTCCTGAGAAAAATTAAACACTGAGAAACAGAAACTGCCTCCCTCATTCCCTTTGTGGTCACTGACATCAGAGGTCAGGAACCTAACAGGCTTGCTCATCAGCTGAGCTCTCCCTGAGTGCCTCCTGTCCTGCAGGACACCGAGGCAGTGACCTCAACACATTTGGGCAACACTCCC